TCTCCCCCCCCCCGCCTGTAATGAAGCCTGTTTCTCCTAATGGAGTACCACTTCCAACATGGGAGACAGTACAAACTTTCAAGTAGAACTATTTGTTATTTTAATATTAGTCAATCTAAATATACTAATTGCGGGTTAAATTGGTTGTTATGGGCTAGTTTGGAAAATCAAGCGTCATTTACAGGTTTATAAGTATTGTAAACTACTTAAGTAAAACAGAATAGTTATACACATTGTCACACATACCTCATACACTTCTAATGCTGTGTTATAGATTGTTGTTTGAAATTCTTTTGATGGGTCGCCATTCAAAATTTCTTCCTTTTAATGACGCGCCTCGGATTTGTTACACAAAGCCAATCTACCCAGAGGATGCCTGACCCGGGATGTGGTAATGGACTCAAAGGGAGACTGTTGCTTCATAAAGGACCCATCAGAAGCCAACTTCCACAGAGACTCTCACCCCATTTCAACAATAACAATTGCTACATTATAGTCTAAAATTAGATTCATTTCCTTAGCAGTTGCTTTCTATTCAGCGCGGAGCCGTAGTAAATACACAAATTAAGAACACCTTATGCAGAGGTGGAGATTTCATATTAACTGGAAAGTCGTGTTAACCTGGCTAACACTTTAGAAAACGAAATATGAAAAGTCATCTGTCTCAATTCAGTGCCACTCCATACACTGGGATACAGTAGAACTGAACAGATATAATTCAACGTTAGCCAGGGCTATTTTAAGGCCGTTATATCAAATATTGCGTATATAAACACAAATAACCCCAGTTTATTCCTCTTTGCTTCTCAGCGTTTCATAATATTTTATTCTCATTCCACCAACCATGGTATTTGTTACTCTGTCCGTGGTGCACAGTCTATAGTATGCACAAATACAGTGCCATGTTGTGACGTGCTTCCTGTTTCTGGCTACCACGATTCGCCCTCTGACAAATATTTGTTGAGGTTTACCTGAACAAATATTTCATCACAGTGACACCCACTGGGTACCGAAACCAAATTCACTGTTGTTAGTTTTGCTACCACGCAGAAGTGTACAAATGTAGTCTATGTATTATTAAATACAGTATTACCTATGCAATAATAGACAAATGTTGTTGATCATTCATCCACGGCATACTAATCATGCGTACTATAATGGAGGACAGGACGATAACAGTTTACGAATAATTTTTAATCTACATTAATTTTAAGAAGCTTGGAAGTTATTATTCTGTTCGGGTTCTCATATTCTCTGCTTGTGTCTACACAGATGTGTTTGTCGCCACATTAGGGTAGCAGCGTTGTAACAATAGCCACGATCACGGCCTCTTGTGAACATGTACGCCTCGTAATCGGCTTTTCGTCGCTCGTGCAAAATTTAACATCTCTCTCACCTTCTATTTCTCTTGTTTAATTATTACGCACTACGATCTGTAGGATAAAGTTGGTAAGATACGAACTCCAGGTCTTCCAACGTAAACAAATGATCCATTTGTATTATAATGTGGAGGTGGCCACGACATATTAATGAATGTTCTAGCAACATTTGTTGAAAATTACTATGACATAGACCGCAAGCTTGCACATACATTCTTCAGATATTCGGAAACAGTATGGGAATTTTAAACACATGGTACCGACGCTACTGCGTCGAGGATCCTAATACAAGAGGCCCTGAGCTCTTTCCTACTTATTCCATTGCATAAAACAGCTCTAGACATAAATATATTGGTGGTAAGATAAATTTAACCACCGCTATAATTTGTGGTTGTAGGTTTAAATGTTAGGGGATGGAAATAAAAACGTCATTGGCTTTACGTGCAAGAAGATTTGTGTTTTAATATAATAATATCTTTGGTGCTTTAAGCTTAATGATAACTACAGAAACAGAGGCTCCATATGATCCATGTTACTTAATCTCAAATAAAAATTCAGTCATATCCTGGCATGTAACTGGCAAGGTGGAAAGAGGATAAGCCTGCAAAATTTTAGTAGGGAAATATTCTAGAAAGAAATCATTACGAGAATAGGATGAAAAATATGAAACTGTAGTACTTTAAAGTAATGACTTCAACGGACGCAGACTGAATTAAGCTGACTCATGATATGGTCCAGTGGGCGGCTTTTATGAACACAGTAACTAATCTTCAGGTTCCATGACATCAGGACACTTATTGGTCAGCCGAATAAATATCAATGTCCATGGAAAACTCTGCACTATGTAGTTAAGCAGGCAGATGTTCTGATCTTAAAATGACTCTTCTTCGGAAACCAATTAGACCATGCGCCATTGTGAAATGTCCAACAGTACAGAAGCTTACTGTAACCTAACAAACGCTACCTAATATATATATATATATATATATATCTGGTTCCCGATAACTTTTCTCCGTTTTCTTTCTGCTGAACTAAATTAGATATTCAGCACCTGACAGGCTGTATTCCATTAGAATCCGCTCTAATCTGCTCGGCGCCGAGCACGTGCAGACAAAACGTATTTCTGTAATTTTCTGCAACCATTTGTTTTTTGTTTTGTTTTTTCAATCCAGTCCATACCACTGCCATAACGATGTTTGTGGATCTAATTTTGTCTAAGGGCAAATAAATATTCCATACTGAATCCTACAAAAATAATTTATCCTTTTAAAAGTGTCGTGTCTCTAAACTTATTCACCAGCTTTGTTAACAACACACTAAAATCAGCAACAAAGGAACAGTAAGATCAATCATGATTTAAAATAGAAAGGAACGCGTCTGAAAATTCTGCGTACTCCAAGGTGGAGTACATCTTTCCTCTCTTGTGAATCTTGTGCACGCGGTGGGTTGGAGGCTAACACTGGGGTATGAGTGAAGGGAAGTGCCCGATCGATACGGAAACAGCGAGAACCCTGGAGCCCACACAGCATCCACCAGGCTGGTCAACTTCACGGATCCAAGTGAATTACGAAAAGCGAAGCAACGTGTTTACTTTTTGCAGAACGTTATTGACAATTGCATAGTTCTGCCTTCTTTCAGCAGTTATAAGTTGCCGATCTAGTCACTTAATTCCTTGAATGGATCCAGAAAATCCGCCACCGTATTCACAAAATCCTCAAATGGATCATACCCTGCTTAAATTCAGTTAAGATCTTCTTATCCTTGATCTCTTAGT